CCACTGAATGCCTGCAGATGCAAGCACAACCCCCCACTGGCCTTTCGAGTTGAAGTCTTTGAGACTGCCGAAGAGACGCGAACAACACGATACTTTGACAAAGTATGCTGCGTACCACTACCTCCACTGAATGCCTGCAGATGCAAACATAACCCCCCACTGGACTGGCGAGTTGAAGTCTTTGAGACTGCCGAAGAGACGCGAACAACACGATACTTTGACAAAGTATGCTGCGCACCACTACCTCCACTGAATGCCTGCAGATGCAAGTACAACCCTCCACTGGCCTTTCGAGTTGAAGTCTTTGAGACTGCCGAAGAGACGCGAACAACACGATACTTTGACAAAGTATGCTGCGCACCACTACCTCCACTGAATGCCTGCAGATGCAAGCATATGATACTAGAAGTTCACAAATTTTGCAGTCACTGCTGACGAGTTTCTATCTCATCCAACATGTTCTGCACGTCCATATCCTCTGCCGCTGTTGGGGCCAACTCCTCCAGCCCGGCCGGCACCTTTTTGCGATCGGATTTCGGCGTCTCTGGCTCGGATTTGCGCTTTTTGATGTCGCGGTCTTTGGGTGCGCTATCGCCTGCTTGCAAGGGCTGCAATGGCAATGGCTGTTGCAAGCCTGCTGCTCCTGCTATCCTGTCCCTCAGAAGCATACCGTCCCGCAAACTCTTGTTCAACGCCCTCATGGCAGCGGTCTCGCTGGTTAGCCGCATGGCTTCCTGCATCTTCTCTGGACTCATTGCGAGGAGGTGGTTGGCCGTGGCGAAAGGCATGTGCACCGAAGCCGAACCCTTGGTGTCGCCGGCAACAAATGCCCAACCTGCAGGAATGAAGACGGCCATGTTGGGCTGAAGAACACACCAAGCCCCATTGGCCTGTTGAATTTCGTCTTTGCTGAGCCCCCGGAGAAAGTTGCAAAGCTCCACCAAGTCACCAGGCTGTTCGTTCTGTTGCTCCGAATACAACTTGCTCAGATCATTGACAGGCACAGCAAACACATATCGACGCCCTTGCAGCTGAAGTTGCAGATGAGGCCAGCCCATCGGGGTCAAACCGATGTAAAGTGATTCGCTGGGGCACAGATGCACCGTTGCTGACAAAGCATTGTCGAGGGCTTTGCAGCGATGCTCTGGCAACATCAGGTACTTCTTTGTCGCCCAATTCATCTTGTCGAGCAACACGGCGGCCGAACCATTCGACACTCGAGCGTCCAGCCACTGGTCCCACTCCTCGAAATCCAACTTGTGCCACGTCTGTTTCGCAGCAGCCTTAGATGCAGAGGCAGAGGCTGCCTCGGACTCTTCCTCGGCTGTGGCTGTGGCTTCTTGCTCTGCTTTCTGGATCTCAACCAGAGGAAGGAACACTCCCTGGCTGTCCGGTGCGGCCACTGTACAGCACGAGAACTCCTCCCCGCTGATGTCGATGGAATCCACTCCGTCCAAGTCTAGATGCGGTTTGCTGGATTCAGCAGGAGCCGACTCCAGGTCTGGCACGTGCTCGAAGCATGGCAAGCCTCGGATGCCTTGCTGCTCATCCTCAAGTGCCGCGCACCGCTGCACTTCTAGCTTCTTTTCATTGGCCAGCTTCCGTGCGTCAGCCTTCTTGTCCCGCGCACGCTTGTTCTGTACAGAGGCAGACTGCTTGACCAAAGACTGCTGGAGTTTGGTACAAGCTTGCATCAGGGACTTGTGACACTGCGAGTACTTGACAATCTCCTTCTTCTGAGGCACGTCGTCTGAACCGTGACTCACAACCTAGGTGAACACCGAAGATAGGCATGCAGCAAGCGACCGAACATACAAAGCAAACAGTGTGAGCTTGGCGGATACTATGGTGCGACAGCATTCAACACCAGGTCACTCTTTGCTTGACGTGTTCAGCTGTTGGCGACAAGCGCCCCTCCGCATCAGCAATGTCCTCCTCAAACCTCTCCAAGAAATCCTTGTCAGTGCATTCCTCGGATTCCTTCAGCAGCGCTGGGCTAAATGCACAAACGTCAACGAAAGACGCGGTCAACTTGTCGAGCGTCCTTGGATTGACGTCGCGCGTGCAAACATTGACGACACCAAACTGCAAGCTTACGGCATACCACTGAGGCATTGGAAGCTAAGGCTGCTGCTGCCGCAAGTCGGGTGACTCCGACTCTGACAGCAACTGCTCGGCCACCGCCACGGCGGAAGCGACTTTCGGCATGGTCGACCTCACATTCTTCACCTGAAGTAAACCAGATCTTTGATCACAAAGCTTCAAACCTAGCACATTGCCCCCATGCAAACTGACATAGATGTGCTGCGAGAGCTGGCGACGTGACCACGAAGCCACGAAGCCACAAGGCTTCACGGCTTCACGTATGTGTCTCGCACGGTTTAGATTATGTTCCCTGGCCAGGTTGCAGCTGTAGTTCGAGCTTCGGCTGCCTTCAGGTTGTTTTGGGCTTTGCCCACGTTGTCATCTTGCAAGGGAGGAGGATTTGAGCCGTTGTCCGCCTTCATCTTCTTTGCGCGCTTCTTGGCCATGCCGCTCTTGGCTTGCATGTTCTGCAGTCCAGGAAGGCTCGGGAGATCGCTCAAGTTGAAAAGGCCTGTGTCGCTGTTCAGCTGGCCGACGTTCTGCAGATCTTGGATGCGGACAAAACCAGACAAGCAACCCGGAGTTTGCTCTGGACATCGATAAAGAGCTGCATGAACCAAGTTATTGCTGCCCCGATGCTGCTGAAGACTTCCGGGAGCTCGGCGCTAGATGCCTGGATGTCGTCGGTTTTCACCAATCCGCGGGAATGGTTCAATGTCCTGCAGAGAATGCGACATCAGCGCCATAATGCGAAGTTGTTGGCTACGCTGCAACAGAAGGTCTCCCTCAGTGTCGGGGTCCTTCCACTTTCCAAGGATGCAGCACTGTACTTAGCTACAGTAATCCAGCCTTCCTCGTCTTTGCTCTTCGGCACCCTTGCGTCATTTAAGGCGTCTCTCCACTTGGCCTCCGCTGTGGCAGCACTCCAGGCCCAGCGCTTGGTGCCAAGTCTCTTGAACCTTGCCCACTCATCATTGCAACGAAACAGAGACAAAACGACCCTCTGGAAGCCGGTGCATCATCGATGCAACGAAATGTAGCCGAAATGACCCCGAGGAATTGGGAACGTCATCATCACAACGACATTGGGTACGACATGTCCCCGAGGAAACCGGAGCATCAGCACTGCAACTGCAACCATTCCAGGTCCACCCAAGAGTTCACTCATGAGTCTACGCTTGGTGACGTTGGTTTGGCTTCCTAATGACGCGAGATGATTGCAAGACATATCTGCAGAGAAGCCGCTGTACTTTGTTCAAGTAAGGCGTGCTCGCCCTTGAGCCCACGGAGTCAACCACGCTCGCCTCTTCTCGTGCCACAAACTGGCGTTTGGTGCCTCTTTGTCCATGGCTGGAGCGGTTCTTGAGGATTTCCTGGCGACGCTCATCCATCGACATCGACGTCCACTGGTGGCTTCGGTTGGTTGACTTGTAACTGCTTTGTAACCATCTTTCCGTCGAATAGCAACCTTTGCACTTCCACTTCTGCCCATTGGCAATGCACTCCCCCAAACAATGCGACTCGCCGCACCACGTACACCTTAGGTTCACGTGGAAAACAGCATAACATGTCACGTGTAATGTGTGGGTGGGTTTGGGTTTGGCACCGGTTGTGAAGCATGAGTATGAGGATATGCAGCCGAAGTTCACCACAGTAATTTCCGGCTGCATGGAATCCCCCATCCTTGCAGCGACTGCTCCCTTCACGTGAGCGCCGAAGTTTGGGCGCACCCTGCCCTGGACCTACGGCCAAAATGGCTCGCAGTGTCGAGTGCTGTGCTGCAGTATGAAATTGCACGCAAGTCACATGTCTCACACACGGGCCGTCGCACGGCCCTGGCGGCTGTGGCTCTACTTTCTTGACACAGCGGCACGGCACACTGGCACACAACTCGCATCGGTGAAACGGGCGCCCACAGTGCCCACAGACTTCAACTGCAACACAGGAACGCAGTCTTGGGGCAGGCCGCTGGTTTGCTGCGAGGACTCTGGGGAAGGATGCAAAAGGAATGCGCTTATCCTGCTACTACAACCACTCACTGCACCAGACGGAAGCCGCTATAGCCAGTCCGATGCATGGCACGATCATGGAGTCACCGGCCATCCTGCAAAGCTCGTTATGGCCTGAAGCAGGTTTCGGGGTTCATGGCATCACTACGCATTAATCGAGCGAAGTCACATTGAATGGAGGCAATTGCACGTGCATGAACTCACAGCAATGTGCTATGGCTACAGCAACGAGATGGCCACGGCGGCGAGATGATTCCAAACCAAGTGGCTCAAATTGTCTATCTGATAAACTCTCGACTGAAGGCGCTCTGCAGACCACGCCGTCGTCGGAAACCCATGCAGAAGCATGAGCTCGCCGCCCCCTTAAATCTCATCACACTCCCAAGTCGGAACTGAAGGTATTCGCATGCCTCCGAGTTTGAGTCAAGGGACACATGAATCGAGTGAAATTTTTGGCCCAGAGCCACTGACTTGATGTTGTCAGAGTCATAAGCACCTCAGAAGACGATCTACGTCTCTTCCTCGGATCTTGCGACAAGTCATATACCCAATTGTCCGGAACGACATCGAGAAATTCCTGCAGCCGTTTCTCCTCGGTTAATATACACAAACTGTAGCTGCCTGCATTGCCTTGACGGTTCAGGGCCGAGGTATTTTGCGGTCTTCTTGCAAGCCACAGCATCCTTTGAAGCGCTGAGGGACTCAAGCTTCGAGCGCTGCACCAGCTTGGCAGATGCAAGCATGAAGTCCTCGCAAGTCAGCTTCAGGTCTTCCACACGTGCAGCCGTCGCCACGTCTGCAAGCGGCTTGTACATCCTAGGTTCCATGCTCATGGGCACGACAAACCAAAATTCAAGGACCCGAAAATGCAAGGAATCTCACACTGTCTCTGTCTGGGATCCGCAACGTACTCTTCAGTCTGCAAACTGCATAGCGCCGCTTTCTCGAGACGGGAAGTGAACACAATTGTGGTTCAAGAACCGCCTGATCGATCGAGTACAGGTCACCCAACTGAGATGTCAAAAAGTCCTCTGGGAAGCCGCATACGTTTTCGTGAACAAAGATCAGCGGCTGGTGCGAGCGCACCATCTTGATCCTCAACTCATTCAAGTCTAGGTCTTACCGATCTCTGCCGTGCCAGTTGCGAAGCAATAGGATTTCGGCAAAGGGGCAAGACCATTAAAGGCTTCAAAGTCTCTCCGTTCTCCTTCAGCCGATTTCCAAAACGGCTGTAGTCCTAAGCGTGCACTTAAGAGCGGTTCTCGACTACACCGGCTGACGCTTGAGAAGCCGCACTCTTGGAATAGCCGAACCAACAAGGAGGCCAGAAGAGAGAAGGAGAGAGAGCGAGAGAGAGAGAGAGAGACTGAGCAGAACACAACACCGAAGAAACAATGCTGCACTGTCACGACCCTCGCTTCCAACCGGCTACCTCGTCTCATCCTAAGCAATTCTTTGGATAAGGCAGGCATCGACACACGGTGACCCAGCAACGAGTATGCTGCGCCTGTCCCCTGGAACACGTCGGCAATGCTGTTCATGAGCATAACACCAGTCATCGGTATGCAGGACGGTGGTTGGTCGCAACACCGCCTCTATGATCTCATCAGGCGTCATCCTCAGCTGGATGGCAGACGTCACCCCCGTATGCCTCCCGCAAGCATATGAGCAATGAGCATCAGCCGGGAGCTGGGCTTCGGACTCTTTATGGCTAGAAAGAAATGATGCTTAATGCACCGCCAAATAACACCACCCAAGGCGCACGTCACCCCACCCCACCCCGCCCCATCTATCAATCAGCAAAAGGCCCCACAAATCATGGCGTGTAAGCAACCAGCCTCCGCCAGAAACGAGTTTCGGGCGAAATCAAAAAGAGCATCATGAGCTTGGGGCGGAATCAAAGCGAGCATCATGAGCATCAACTGGGTGCCTTTGGGGCTGAGCAGGCTGGAAATGGCCGAAAGCAACCCCCCAAGATGTCGAACAAGATCGGGGTAAAC